AATATATGAGTTTGTATGTAATGTATGAATATAATATACAAGTTTCACTTTTTAAATGGAATTACTGAAATAAATCTACTTTTTCATGATATTCTAATTTTATGACCAGCACCTGTATGTGCTCTATAATGTGCTAACCTTAGCCTTTAGTGACCTTATATGACTTTTAGCTTCTAGACAACCTTTTACTGCTTTTACCTATTTGTTACTTTCCACTTTTAGCTGATTTTTGCTACTTTGAGCTTTTAGTTACAGTTTTGCCATTCTTCATTTTTAGTTATCCTGATGCTTTTCAGAGTCTGTTTTTTGCTACATTTWGATTTTTAGTTAGCCATTTGTTACTTTTAGCCAGCATTTTGCTGAGTTTAGCCAATAGCTAGTTTTATGCTTAGCTACCTCTAGCTTCTGGCTACTATTTGTTACTATTAGCTTTTAGCTAGCCTTTTGCTAGGTTTATCCACTATCTAGCCTTTTGTTATTTTTTGCATCTGGCTGCAATTTGTTTCTATTAGCTTTTAGGRTTAGCCAAAAACTAGTTTTATGCTACCTTTAGCTGCAGGGTACAATTTTGTTATGTTTAGCTTTCAGCTAGAATTAAYCTAAGTTTTTCCTTTTATCTAGCTTTTTGCTACTTATAGCTTCATGGTATAATTTTGCTACTTTTAGCTAGCATTTTGCTAAKTAGCCTTTAGCATTTTTCTGCATTTAGTTTTTATTACTTTTAGCTAGTGTTTTACTTTTCACTAACATTTTTCTACTTTTGGCTTTTAGTTAGTATTTTTTCTTCTTGCAGGTCGTTTGCACATATTAGCTTTTAGCTAGTGTTCTCCTTCTTTTAACTTTAACAACTCAGTTTCAACTTCTTGAGCAGATTTCAGCTGTCTTTCAGCTCTCAGCATCCACACTTTCTGAAGTATCTTTCATGTTTTTTTAAATTGAAATAAGACGAATTGTCTTTTGGTTTGTAGTTTTTCCTGTCAGTCAAACTATAAAGTTAGAGCTGGTTCTCTCCCCGTTGAGACGTCCTTTTTGTTTTTGTCCAACCTTCAGATGAAGTCAAATCTTACTAATTATCTTTCATCTTGTTCCAAACAACACATAATGAATTTTCTCCCAAAAAAAAAAAAAAGAAAAAAGAAAATAGTCTAAAAGTGTAAACAGATCCCATACACAAACAAATGACTYAAGCTAAAATATCTGCCATGATCCAAAATATCTAACAAAGTTCTCTTCTCTTTCTCTCTCGCCCCGGTGCATCATGGGAAACATTCATCCAACMCAGCTCTCTCAGGTACGTGATAGCAGAAACTCCATGCAACATTCAAACAGCAGGGGGAAAAAAGAATCCTTTTTGTTTCAGGGAAACCAGCGTTTGTGGCCTTAATGTTGTTCAGCTCAATATTTAATCTTTATTCTGATTAAAGCTGACTCAGCGCTTCAGGAAGCTGCTGCAACAGAAGGGAGAAACTGAGGAGAGTAACGCTACAGAAAGATGCTGTACTTGTTTCAATTATTTAAAATGTACAAGATAAGGCAACATGCTGCTTTTGTATCAACATTTTGAGTTTACAGTTTATTAATATTAGAGCAGAGAACAGAACATACACAAATGGTTTTTTGTTAACCTTACTGGTTTATTGCTATTATTATTTTTCCTTTTGCATGTTTGATCTCATCCTGTCAGGGAGCAACATATAGAAAACCAGCTGCTGTAAATTTATAATCTTATTTTATGACTTAAACATGATCCGTTGTATGAATTATTCAGCGGTACACACAGTGGACCCGTTGGRTTTAAGGCCGAGCTGAAATCTTCTGTTTTTTTTTTACTTCCTCAGAGATCATCCTCACGAATCCTGTGTGCGTTTTTTAGTTTCTACACACTTGCAAAAGAAAATAAGATAATAAAGCGATGTCCTCTGAAGAGTGCAGTTAGGCTGGAGTAAATTAATAACAAAAGCTCTTTCTACAGCACAGGGCTGTAGTTTAAGCAAAGTGAGGCGACAGTTTCAAGTTTAGTTTTAGTCGATTAAATAATGGAAAATGGGATGAAGGTTGTTCAGAAATGAGTCTCGGCTAATTTYTCATCAAATCTTCAAAAACAAGATGGAGCAAAATTCTTAACTTCTAATAGAGGCAAAAGATTTTTGGGGAAAAAAGGCGAGATTTCTGGTCTTCAGGGAGGAAAAAATATCAAAGCAGATTAGACTGCAGCTGTCTGTGCTGTAATGTCACTATATATGTATGTTGCATTACTGTAATGTCTTAAATTTACAAACACTTAAAATTTTAACAATTCAGCTTTAGATTTATTTACATAAAACACAAATAAAAGCTTGTTTGACTGATTTACTCTTTCAAATCAACATGAAAACAAGATTTATTTACCTTTAAAAAGTGTTTTTGAGTGTTTGCATGGAAACAAGCAGCAATTGGACCTAAAATACTCCACAAAAAGAACAGATGAATCACCAACAATTTTCTGCTCTCAGAAAAATAAAACAGATTAAAGTTAATTTTATGTCTATGGATGTTTTTATTATGATAAATGCATCATCAAGGTCATTTTCTACCAAGTGTTTCTGTCCTGAATGACTCGTTTTTCTTTTCTAAATAGTTTTATACTGAAAATATAACATTGTTTATATTTATTTTTACTCAAAGTCAAATGTTTTTCTACCTGATTATCATTTTTTTGTTTTGTTTTTACTTGAACCAGACTAAAATTTGTATCAGTCTTTAAAATTTTTAAATAAATTTCTGCAGTTTTTTGGTAACAATTTGAGCGTTGATGCTGGGAATGCTGCAGAGCGACGGTGCATTAGTTGTAACGTACACACAGGCAGCAGATGAGTCCACAGAACCAGAATCTGCAGTTTCCTGTTGAGTCCAATCAGATCCGTGTGAAGACAGAAACAGCTGGGCCGCACACATGGCTGCTTGTTCTGCTCGCAGCTTGTTTACAGGAGCCCAGATGGGACATTTGGAGCAGCYGCAGGCTGAGCTCAGTCCTGTTCTCCTCCTGCGTCGCGTCTCTTTTGCTCTAATTGCAGGTCTGGGTTTGGGCCTGAGGAGCAGGACCAAAACAACAGGAGTGGAACGGTTTTTAATTATTTAGAAAATTTAGAGGCTGTGCCTCTTTTAGTGCTCATCTTTTGGACATTTACACAAAATGAGCCTTTTCCTAAAGGTTTTTTTTTTTAAAGTTTGGAATAAAACTCGAGCTAATTTCATCTCAACAGTGCAGTGTCATCAGAATTTTTATTTATTTTTTCTGTAGGAACTGTCGGAGGAGCGTCACTCTCCTCCGCTGCTGTCAGTTAACGGGCCCGGAGAGGAAAAGCTGTTCCGCAGTCGGAGCGCTGAGGTGGAGCTGACGGTGGAGAAGGAGCGGGTCAAGAAGATGCTGTCTGAAGGGTAATGATGGGTTTTAGTTTCAAGGGAGGCAGAAAATGTTTATGTGTGAACATCATTCAAATGCATTAAGTTAGAGGAGACGTGTTTTTAAATCCTTCTTTTCACATTTAAATCATTCAGTTGGGGTCTATATAAAGTGGAACTTAATGCTTTGAACTCAATTCCTTCTTATTGTAACTCCACAAACCCCTCTTTCACCCCTTTTCTGAGGTGTGTCTCAGATCAACTCGTTTTGAGGCTGTCTCTTTAAATCCAAACAAGGCGCTTCACACCCCGCCTCCCTCCAGCTTCCAGACCGGTTCATTCTAGTTTGATAGAGGGATTTATGACTATATAGAGGCTCAGAAACATTTTATTTACGAATGAATTAAAAGATGTCAARGAGGGAAGATTTGTCCATTCAGCCTTGCATGTAGGATACAGAGACACAAAAGTCTCCATGTCCGGAAATAAATCGCAGATATCCCTTATCACTGAAGGAGCAGGGCGGCCTCACCAATGAAAGCTCCGTTACTCCAGGATGGGATGAAAGTTGTTTCAATCTAGCACTGTCAATATGCTCCCCACCACCACCACCACCTCTACACACATCATGCATAGTGAGGCATTTAAAGGCACTTTGTGTAGGATTTGTTGTTTTCAGTGACATCTAGTGGTTGAGTGGTTGAATCATCCTCCTTGGTCCTCCCCCCACCCCCACCCCCCGCTTTCAAACGCAAAGGCATTGCTACGGTGTCTCTCAGGTGTCAAAAACCTTTGATAATTCCAACCGCGATGTCTACCAGCAGCTTCAGGGCTAGTGATGTTTCAAGTGGTAAGATTATGAGCTTTAATAAGTAAAATTATCCCAGATACATGAAAATACACCGGAGTTTTATTCAGAATAAAAGTCCGGACATGCGCAGTGT